TTTCCTCAGACGAGCTTAAAAACAAGATATTTCCTCAAATATCACACTGTTTTAGAGACACACCCAGGACATGATGGTCACCTGAACTTGCTGCTGACGCTTGCAGAGAATCCATAGGTTTCCTAAACGTCCACGGCGGGCAGCTGGAATGGGCACGGGGCAGCTACCACCAGCACTGATGCCAATCATTCTCCCACAAATACTTGATGTCTTGAAATAAACTGTCAGTCCCTTTAATCTGCATCATCACGATGAACGCTCCCAGGGAGTCCCACAGACAGATGTGGAACTGAGACGCCATGGCTATATCACCAGAAAGCTACCACAGCACAAGTCATTCAAACTAACATTTCGTCATAGACCATGTGCTCTGTGTCCAAAATGCCCTCTTTCTAGAAGCAGTGCAAACACTATTGTAGGAAAAAAAAAAAACTGCTAGAAAAGAGACCAGAGTGACACCTAGCTTTCCTGTTGTCTGGTTGTGGCAGGCTCTTATCTCAGTAAATGTCACTTTGGCTCTGATGATAAGGACTAGGCATATCAGTTTTGAGAGTGCTCTGCTTTTATTTTTTCCTTGTAGAAAATAATTTAGGGGCCGGAGAGATAGTATATCAGGTAAGACACTTGCATACGACTGACCCAGGTTTGATCCCAAGTACCACATACAGTTCCCTGAATATTGCCAAGAGTGATCGCTGACCACAGAACCAGAAGCAAGCCATAAGAACATTCAAGTGTGGCTTGAACACATTCCACCCCCCCCCCAAAAAATGATAAATTTAGGGACCCATGAATATAGCCCATAGTGCTTGAGTGCACACTTTGTATCTAGAATTTCTGGATTTAATTCCTGACATTGCATAAGCCCCTGAGCACCACCAGGAGCAACTCCCAATTACTAAGCCAGGAATTACCTCCTAACACCACCAGATGTAACCTAAAAAAAAATGTAATCAATAATAAAAAAAGGTAATAAGGTAAAGGTAAAGGTAAAGGCCCTCCCATTGATTGTCGATTTGCTCGAGTGGGCCCAGTAACGTCTCCATTGGAGACTTTGTTGTTACTGTGTCTGGCATATCGAATACTCTCGGTGGCTTGCCGGGCTCTCTGAGAGGGGCGGAGGAATCGAACTCGGGTCGGCCATGTTGGCTACGTGCAAGGCAAACGCCCTACCGCTGTGCTATCGCTCCACCAAACCAAAAGTAATGACTTTTCTAATAAATCAAGAGAGTGAAAGAACAAAATGAATGCCATTTCAGATATTCTGGAACAAACGGGGTAAAAGCAGAGGTGGAAGAAAGAGAAAGTAAGAAATGGTACCAAAAGAAAGGGACTTCAAGAAACAAACAGACTAAAGTATTAAAGAGAGGAAAAACAAAAGAAGATACATCAGAGACAATCAGAAAACGAGGAAGTGAGAGCAGAAAATCAAGAAGATTTCAAGAATCAGACAAGCCAGACTCAAAAGCGGTCAGTAGAACATGCACACGAGTAACAGCAAGCCCATCATCACACACTTGAAACCAATAAACAAAACTGATCTATTAGGGAGTAGCCCAAAGAGTTTGTTTGAGTCCTAGGTTTGATCCCCAGTACCTCACAGTCCGAGAGTACCTCAGGGAGTGGCCCCAAAACAAAAAATAAAAAAGATTTATCAAGATGGTTGGGAAGACATTCATGTGAACATAATTTCTCTTGAAATTAAAACTGCTTAAGAGACAAGGAGACAGGTCAAAGGGCTAATGTGCACATGCAGGATGGCAGACACGGCAAAGGGCTTCACATGCCGGAGACCCAGGTTCAGTCTGTGGCACCATATTGCCCCCAGGAAACATATCAGAGTGGGATCAAAAAAACACACAAAGCCAAAATTAAAATTTTTGTACTAACCACTCCAACAATGACAACTAGCAGACAAGGGCAGTCCAATGGCTAGGCCTGTTCCCCACATGGCAACCTGCTCCACCCAGGCCATAAGGAAGTTAAAATACCCTCCTCCTCCTTCAGGAATGAGGAAACATGCAAGAACATATCCGGGGGCTCTCTGATTATGAACATAGTTTCCTACACAAGAAAGGTTTCTTTTTAATGCTTTTTAATTTTTTTTAAATTTTTAATGCTTTTATTTTCTCAAGTTATTATATTTATATATGTTCTCCATATATGAATATGATTACAAAGTATAGCAAGCACAAGTAGAAAATGGGTCACACATTTCCATTCAAGTTCAGCCCTTCAAGACAAAGGACATTCACACTTACAATGTGTTATGATTACTTAATATTTTAAATTTTATTAAAGCATCATGATCTACAAAGTTATTCAGATTTGAGTTTTAGACATACGGTGACCCACCCTCAGTTCCACAACCAGTGTCAACTTCCCTCCACCAGAGTTCCCAGGCTGATCCTTGGCAGGCACATTTTTAAGTCTGGTTGTTGTAGTTTGAATCTTATGTTTTCAGTATTGCTGGTTGTGTCCCAAGCAAACTTAAAAATAATGAGACATTGAGTTCCACATTTACTCATTGTAGAACATCTCTTTTAAAAGGCTTTTTTGAGGGGCTAGGACAATAGTATAGTGGGCAGGACACTTGTCTTGCGTATGCCCTACCTGGGTCCAATTCCCAGCATTCCCATGCGGTCCCCTGAGCACCACCAGGAGTAATTTCCGAGTGCAGGGTCAGGAGTAAACCCTGAGCATTGCTGGGAATGACTCAAAAACAAACCCTAAAATGTTTAAAGAAATTTTTATTATTTTTTCATTTTCATAAATTATATTCTTTGGAATTTATCCGGAAAAAAATTCTGGGACACACCTGATGGACACAGGGAGAGGAGTAATAAGAAGCAGAGCCATCAGCATGAGGGAACAGTCAGAAGGAAGTGACGAAAACACAACATTCGTGCTCATCCTCACAGGACAGCAAATACCCATTATCACTGAGCACTTGGGCCCAAACAGATTCAAATCAAATATGTTGTTATAAACTCGAAGCGACCATATTTGAGACAGAAATAGCTTCGATTAAAAATCAAAGTATTGAAGAGAGGTAGAGCAAACGCCATCAGTGTGTGGACCTGGGTTCAATGAATAGCACTCCACACAGATACACAAACACACATGATTCTCAGGACACAACCATTCTTGGTCCACAGAGTGTTTTTGTTTTTGTTTGGATTTTTTTTTGAGCACCTCAGTGCTTTATCTATATGGCGCAGTAGTGCTATATAGTCTAAGATGTCAGTTGAAGAAGAATGCAAGTGTAGTGGAGGATGGACATTCAATGAAATGCTGGGACTAAAAGTCCCATGGAGAAGAAAGAGGGTTTGGTAGGGCTGGGTTGACAATGAATCAGACTATTATACATCAAGGGTGTTGTTTGTAAAATATCTGGCCCAAAGGTGCAATTAAACCCCCTTTAAAAGCACCAGGTTTCTCAAACCCTGGGTCCACGAGCTCTCGGGTTTGACTCCTCTGTTTCTCTTTGCAACATAGGTAAGTCCTTCAAGAAAAATACCTATTTGTGTTTTCTTAAGTGTTCCCCTCTGTTGATACTTGTTTATAGACAGCTCGACTGTGCAGGGTAATTTTGCCTTTCTATATAACTCTATTACATTGATATGTCCCTGTTGGAATGAGAGACACAAAGGTAATAATTTTAGAATATTTCTCTGATATCTTCAGGAAGGCAGCATCAGAAGGCAGTTTCTGTCTTATTTTACAATCACTGCCATGTGTCTTAGTGCACTGAAATACCTCTAGATCACTTCTGTAGGCTTTGGGTCTTCAAAGGAAAGAAACTATTCCTTATTCATGTCATATTTCCAAACCACACAGTCGTGCTGGCAGGAAATATCTTTAAAACGTGTTTATCAACTAAATGAATTCCAAAAGCCACTATAAATGAATCTTCTAGCTGCCAATGGCCTAGAGCACAGGTGGCAAATGGTTGTAGACATTGTATAAGATTCAAGAACTATGCAAATGCAGAGTCCAGGGTCTCACAAACAATAATCTAAATCAGTATCTCTGAAGGTAGGTTCTGGCATCTATTTCTCTAAAGGTCTCTGGTGATTCTAAAGAAAGGCAGAAATGGGAACCACACACAAATATACCATTCAAACTAGGAATCTAGCATTTTATCATGTCTCCATTCAGCAAACACTTATTGAACTTTTACTGTATTCTAGGCAGTATGAAATAGGTAAGATCTGCCTCTGAACTTTGCCAAATGATCTCTGAAAGAGTCAGATTAGATGTAAGCAATTAATAGATAATGTGGCATATATCATAATAGGAACAAGTACAAAGGAAAAGAAAATCTGGTGTAGACTATGGAACCCCTCTCTCAGCACTGTCCACATGGGCTACTTTGGTTATTGAAATTGAAGACCATACAGTCTTAATTTTAGGAGACTTATATGCAGTACATTTATTGCCACAGAACATAGGGGACATATTCAGTTTCTGCTTTTTTCTTTGCACATATTACAATAAAAGCAATATCATTAGAAATGAAGACTGGGGATTTGAGGTGATGGGCATGAATCTTCTAAATCTCTGTTATATGATTGTGTTTTAGAAACTCATAGAACTTCACTAAAAAGGGAATAAATTTAAAAATAAAAGCGGGTCGAAGCGATAGTACAACAGGAAGGTTGTTTGCCTGGCATGTGGCTGACCCGGGTTGGATCCCCGGAATCCCACATGGTCTCCTGAGCACAGCCAGGAGTAATTCCTGAGTGTAGAGCCAGGAGTAGCCCCTTAGCATGGTTAAGTGTGACCCAAACAGGAGGAAAAAAAAGAAGAGAAATGAAGGCTGAGCCAAAGGTGCCAAATTTCAAAGATTTCCAAAGCCCACTAGCACCTGGCATTAGAAATAGGTCTCAATTTGCTCTTGAATCTATCTCCAAAAGATGGAGAAAGAAGCAATTAGGAAAATAAAAACATTGACTATTTTTGTCACGTTCCAGGCACGCTGCAGTTGAAAAAGCAAAATGCTTCCCTGTCTCCTGAAGAGTATCATCAGCATCATTGATGTTTTCCACAAGCATTCAATGAATTACGAGGATTGTCACCGGCTTAACAAGACAGAACTTAAGAAACTTCTCCAACAAGAATTGGAAAATGCTCTAGAGGTAAGAGAACACTCTTCTTCCCCAGTTACTGATCAGGGGGTTGTCTATCTTCTTGACTCCTCTTCCCTTTCCCTCTCTGGCTTTCCATGAGTCTCTAGTTATTTCCTCAGGATTATTACAAGGTCCTCTTTCTCTGGTCATTCCTTAAGGATTGATATTCTCTGAAATTCTCAGTCTGCATTCATCTGTGCAATGTCACCAATATTCTTTGTTTCAACTTCTTTAAACCTTCCAGAGTCAACTCTTCACTCCAGATTTCTCTCCTGAACTTCAGACACTTTAAACATTTATTAAATATCCCTTGCATATTACATCATTTCATTTTACATTATGTAATATACCTGGAATGTTACATAAAGATTGCAAAGTCATTCTTTGAAAAATAACCCTCTCAAATGTTGTTGTCCTCCTACATTTTGTATTTCAGAAACATCACTCACTACTTTGTCTAGTCCAAGGTCCTGGCCATCAGTCCTAATACCTTTATCTTTATAAATTTATCATATCAAATTCAATCACAATGTCCTACTATTCCAACTTCTAAACCAAAAGCTCACAGGCCTGGACATCTCTATCAAGTTCTCCCCTCTGAAATGTTTTAGAACACTGAGGTCTCTTCCTGGAAATTCAATATCCCCCTAATGAATTGTACCCTCACCTCTGCTCCTCTCCTTCCCTATCACCATCACTTACAATCTATTATCACACTACAGCCAAAGTAATCTGGTTTAAGTATTTGTCTTTTAGACTCCCATTTTATCCCAGGGATACTTATTAGACTGTGTAATAATTGTTCTCTTTATTTGTCTATGAATGCAATGATCATGTCTGTTACACTTTCCTTTCTGTTTTTATCTTCTGGAACTATTCTTGGAATATATACATTTATTCACTCATTCAGCTGATATTCACTTGGTATCAATTAAGAGCCAGTATCTTTCTAGGCTTCAGAAAAAAATAGAAGGTGGGTGGAGAGATAGGACAGCAGGTAGGGAATTTGCCTTGACCAGAGCTCAATCCCCAGCATCCCATATGGTCCCCTGAGTAATGCTGCCAGGAGTAATCACTGGCTACAATGCCAGGAGTAACCTTTGAGCATTTCTAGGTGTGTCCCAAAAATAAACCAAAAACAAAAGTAAATTAAAAAAAGACATATTTGTACTTTCAAATAGTTTACATACTAGATCATCAAAAAATTATATAAGTAAAGATAACAAATGTTCTCTTCTAGTAGAGAATCAGAGTAGTTTCTTTGAGGAAGTGAGATTCTCACATAAGATGTGAAAGATATAAGAAGTTAGTTGGGCAAAGAATGGAAAGGAAAAGATTCCAGAGGGAAAAAGAACTTCTCTGTCAAACAAAATTAATAAATAAAATTATTGTGTGGAGAACCAGCTTAATATGTTTACAAAACTGGAAGGAATTCTCTATAACTGGTCAGGAGGAAGGACAGGATATGAAGGTAGTGAACCAGGAGAGGAACTCATCATAAGGATCTTTGCAGAACGCGTTAAGAAATTCAGGATTTTTCCCCTAAACCTAACAGGAAGCCAATAAGAAATCTTTAATGGAGGAAAAACAAGATTTACTTTATGGGTTTATCTTTTAAACACTTGATTTCTGGGTGGAAAAATGTATCATAAAGGCACAAGAGCAGAAACAAACTGACTTATTTTAAGGCTACCATAGCAATACAGACAGAAGGTGTTAGTAGCTTAGACTGGAGTACAAGCAATGGGGGAAAAAGAAACATATGTGTTGATAACATTTTAAAGATAGAAACAGAAAGTTTTGTCTTAGGTTGAACTTAAAGGTAAATGTGAAGAAAGAATCAAAGGCAACTACCAAGATTCTGACATGAGAAACTAGAAGGGTGATGATGCCATTGATTGAAATGAGGAAAATTTGATGAGAAGTAGATGCAGAGGAAAGTCAAGAAATCGGGTTTTGACAAAAAAGAGAAAGAAATCGGGTTTTTAAATGTTTAATTCCTTCTTCCTGTTACATATCACAGAAAAGATGCACGAAAATAGTTCGGTATAAAGGTATGATGCTCAGAGCAGCAACCTGGTTCAGTGACAAAAATCTACTCATTGGCCAGAGAGATAGTTCAGGAGTTCAAGTACTTGTCTGGCATATAGCTGACCCTGGTTTGGTCTTCAGCACTGCATATAGTCCCCTGAGCATCACCAGAAGTGATTCCTGAGTGCAGAGTCAGGAGTAAATCCTGAGTACCACCAAGGGTAGCCCCCAAATAAAAACAAACAAAATTATCATCATCTTCTGTTTTCTGATCAAAAAAAATACAAGGTTTGATAGATTATAAGGTTCAAATGTAAAAAGGGTGTTAAAGATAAAATCTTGAGAAACTCCAATATTTAGAGACCAATATTTAGAGATTATAAATGAGAATTTGAAAGTAGAAAGTGCTTGCTCGGTTTGGGAGTCGGTGGCTGGGAGTGGGCAGAGATATGGGAAGAAACACATGAAAGTGCTATGATTATGGAATTCAAGACAAGATGATGCTTTCCAAGTAAGGATTAATGAATTGTGTCAATCGATTCTGAGTGGTTAAGTTAAATAAAAATTGAGGAGCCAACGAGATAATACAGGAATTAAGACACTTTGCTTATATGCCTGCGCTCCCAATTCTATCTCTGGCACAGAATCAGTCACCCAAGCACCACCAAGAGTTATTCCTGAGCACAAGACAGCAATAGGCCCTGTGGCGCATCCAAAACACACACACACACACACACACACACACACACACACACACACACATTCGCTCTCCAAAATGAGAATGGAAAGAGTTCGTTCATTGTATTTGTCATGAAGCAACCACTTTGCAGTGATGGTAAAATAAATGACAGAGTGACACAGATGAAAGAGTAAATAAATAGGGGCATTTTCAGATAATTCTTAAGAAACTTGGAGGTAAAGATTGAGAAGAAGTATATGTGGTATCTAAAAAAGAAAGAGAGGTAGGGTGCAAGTAAGACTTTTATATTACTGATAACAAAGCATACTGTTATACTTTGCTAAATTTAGAGGAAAAGGAGATTATCAGAACAATTCAGTCTATCAGAAAGTAGAGAAAATAAGCTCAATAAAACAAATAGGTAGATTGGCATTTGAAACTCGTGAAATTCCCCAGAGATCTTAGAGGGGGGGAAAATACACAGTGAAGATTTGTTCCTCTGTTTAGATAAAGGCCCTTAGATACAGAAGAGAAATCCACTTTGGTGATTTGTATTTTATATTTGAAACATTAGAAAGGATCACCAATAAGAATGATAGAAAGAGAACATGTTGGTGCTTAGTAAATATTTAGAACAATGGTTTATGCTATATTCTAGTACTATTTATTGAACATAAGTATGTTCTTCATTGTAAACTCAAAATATAAAACATATATATTACGTCGTGGAAAACAGCGGGTAGGGCGTTCGCCTTACACGCGGCCAACATGGCCGACCTGAGTTCGATTCCTCCGCCCCTCTAGGAGAGCCCGGCAAGCTACCGAGAGTATTCGATATGCCAGACACAGTAACAACAAAGTCTCCAATGGAGACGTTACTGGGCCCGCTCGAGCAAATCGACCATCAACGGGAGGGCCTTTACCTTTACCTTAACAAAAAGAGAGACAGGATTGTTGTAGATTCCCTAAGAAATTTTTTTAACAAAAAAGATACTAAAAGGATTATCAAGGGAAAATACACTACTTTCTTTCTTGGTTGTTTTCTCATAGGATACAAGTAATTCTGAGACAACAGAGAAAATCCTCCAACAACTGGATCAAAATGGTGACAAAACAGTTGATTTCAGTGAATTTATTTTGCTTTTGTTTGGAGTGACAAAAACTTATTATGCATGCTTAAAAACTCTTCTCTGTCCTGAATTTGTAAAAAGTGATAGAAAATCTGAAAGTCAAGAGCAACAAGCAACAGAACTAGAAGCCAAGCATTTGGAGAAAGAAAAATTCCGAGGAAAAACCCAGAGCCAAGAGTTCCAAGCTGCTCAGAGAGATGAAATGCAAGAACAGATCCCAACACCCAGTGCTGATGAGAATTGTAGAATGAGAGAGCAGAGTTTAGAATCACAACACACTAAGAGACACCAAGCTAAATTGCTAAGCCCTGAACCACAAAATGCTGGAAGTCACCAAGAGAAAAAGCAAATCCAAATTCCAGGGGATACTAAGAGCTACCAAGATAGGAACCAGGACCTAAGATACCATGATGTTGAGAAGAACCAAATGAAAGACCAGATGTCAACATCACAGTGTGATGAAAAGGACCAAGTAAGAGACAGGAACCCAGATCCCCAAGATGTTCAGAAACACCACATGAAAGAACAGATCACGACACCAAGAGATAATGAGAACCGTCAAGTGATAACTCAGAACCTAGACTCTCAGGACGTTGAGATACATCAGGTAAAAGATGAGATCACAACACTAAGACATGATGAGAGTCATCAAGTTAGAGATCACAGGCTACAGTCACGTAATGTTCCCCAAGATGAAGCAAGATGCCTGAGTCTTGAACCCCAGAATGATGAAAGACTCCAAATAAGAGACTTGATCCAAATATCATGGCATGATATGAGTCAACAAGGAAGAAGTCACATTGTAGAATCCCAGGATGCTGATAGAATCCAAGTAAGGGATACGACACCTAAACTTCAGAGTCATGGACAATACCAGAGATCTGACAATGACCTAAGCCCTGTGACCTGGGAAGTTCTCAAAAAACAAATAAGAAACCAAATCCCAACACCAAGAAATGAAGACAGTCTTCAAGAACAAGATCAGAAGCCGAGTTTCCAGGATTTTCAGAATAATAAAGTTAGAAATCAAATCACAACAGCATATGATAATGAGCAACAGCAAATTAAGGGTTCAAGCCTAGCATCCCAGGAATCTAGAAGTTGTCACGGGAGAGATCAGATCCCAACAGAAATTGATGATAGGAGTCTTCAAATGAGAGACCAGAACCCAGAATTCCAATTTAACATGAGACAAAAAAGTAGAAAGCAGACTCCAATACCGACCGCTGATGAATACCACAAAGAAGGAAACCAGAATCCAGAACAAAATAGCAGTGAAATGCAAAGTGGAGAACAGAGACCTTCCCCAAAACGGAATGAGGTAGAAGGAGGTAGAGATCAGGCAGTAGCAGCAACAATTTTTGAGAGAAGATACCAAGCTAGAGATATGGCTCCACAACCCAGGTCCAATGAAGCACAAAAAATTCGAGAACAAAGACTAGAGGCGAAAGAAGATGAGGTACAACAGGTGAGTGCTCAAAACTCAACACCAACAGATGAAGAGAGGCATCCAGTGAGAGAACTGAACTCAGATATTCAAAATGGTGGGAAACATACAATTAGGTTACAGAGACTATCCCCATGGGAGGATGAAATTCTAGGAGTTAGTGACCAGACTCCAATAATATACGAAAATGGGAAATACAAGATAAGGATTCAAATGCTAGGGACAGCAAATGAGAAGTGTCAAATCAGAGACTCAAGCCCAGAGTTCAGGGAGAATGGGAAAAACCAATTTAAGAAAGAGAGTACAGCAACATATGAAAAATGCCCAGTGAGAGACATAAGCCCAGAAGTGAATAATGAAAGGAAATACCAAGTTATGAAATATAATTCAGAACCTAGAAATGATGGGATACAACAAGTCAGAGACCTAGGTCCAGAAAATGTGAATAATTGGACAAACCAAGTAAGGGAGCAAGTATCATCTCCAACAGAGGATGAGGGACACCAACTAAGATATGAAGCTCCGGCAACAAGTGATGTTGGGAGAAGTAAAGTTAAGAAGCAGAGACCAGCTCAAGGACAAGATGAAAGATTCCAGTATAGATATCAATTGGAAGATGAGAGTAGTAAATTTAGAGAACCAAATCTCGACCCCAGCAACAATGGGGAATACCTGGTAAGAGACCTGAACATTGAACTCAATAATTACAGGAGGAAACAAGTTAAGGAACAACAAGAAATTTTCAGGAATAAAGGTAGACAGCAAGTTAGGGGGCAGGGACCAAATCCAACAGGAAATGAAAATCATAGAGTGAGAGACCAAACCCCAGCACTAAAAGATGATGGGAGATATCAAGAGAAACATGTGATTCCAGAAGTCTGGAATGAGGGGAAACAGCTAGTTAGGGAGCAGGTTCCAAATCTATCAGACTATGACAGGCAGCAAGAGAGAGTAAAAATCTTAGCACCAATTGATGATAGAGAATACAATCTTACAGTGCAGGAACCATCTCTAAAACATTATGAAAGAGTCCAACACAGAGACCAAATTCCTCTACCCAGGGATGATGATAGAAACCAAATGAGAAACCTGAGTCTTGAACCTAGTAATACTGGGAGGCACCAATTTAGTGAGGAGAGACCAGAACCCAGGAACAATGAGAGGCAACTAGTTAGGGAGCAGAGACAAACTCTAACAGACTATGAAAGATACCAAATGAGAAAACAAACTTCAGTATCAAAAGATGATAAGATACACCATGTTGCAAAACAGAGACAATCTCTGGGACAACATGAAATATTTCCACATAGGGATCATATCCCCCTACCAAGAAATGATAGAAGATGCCAAGTGAGAGAACTGAGCCCAGAACCCAGGAATGAGTGGGAAAGTCAAGATGAAATACAGAGACCAGCTCCAAAAAATTATAAAACTTTGAGGCACAGAGACCAAATATCTGAACCCAGGGATGATTACAGAAGACAGGTAAGAGCTCCGAGTCCTAAACCCAAAGATGATGCTAGATCTCACAGTAGGGAGCGGGGACTAGAATTTAAGAGTAATGAGAGAAAAGAAGTTATGGAAGATAGAGTGACTCCAACAAAATTTGAGAACCATCAAATGAGAAAACAAATATTAGCACCAACAGATGATGAGAAATACCCTGTTACAGAGCAGAGATTAGTTCCAGCAGAAGATGAGAGATACAGAGTGAGAGACCAAACCCCAGCACAAAGGTATGATAGGAGACACCAAGAGAGAGATGTGAGACTGCAGCTTGATAATAACGAAAATCAAGTTAGGAGACCAGCTCCAATGCCGTATGAAATATCCCAACATAGATACCAGGTTTTCTCATCGAAGGATTATGCAAGATACCAAGAGAGGGACCAGAGCCCAGAAACTATTCATGATGAGAGAAATCAAATTAGGGAGCAGAGACCAGTTCTTAGACAACATGAAAGATTACAACTTAGAGACCTAATATCAGATACAAGCAATGGCAGGCAATATCAAGTGAGAGTCCTAAGCCCAGAGCCCCATGATGATGAAAAACAAAAATTTAGGGGATGGAGGCAAACTCCATCAGAAGATGAAGGACACCAAATAAGAGACCAAACTTCAGCACTCAGGATTGATGGGCAACACCAAGATAGAGACAGGAGACCAGAAATTAGGAATGATGTGACAATTCAAGGCAAAGAGCAAAGGCCAGTTCCAAGGGAGCATGAAAGACTCCGAGAGAGAGATAATATCTTCATATCAGGGGATGATGGGAGACATTTAGAGAGAGACCTAATTTCAAAATGCTGGAGTGATTGGAGAAGCCAATCTAGGGAACAGAGACCATCTCCAAAACAGTATGGAAGATCCCAGCATGAAGACCAGATACCTTCAGCAAGGGATAATGAAGGGTATCAGGCAAGAGACAGGAGTACTAAGATCAGGAATTATGGGGATTATCAATTTAGGGAACAGCAACTCAAACCCAAGAATGAATGGAGCCATCAAATAAAAGAGCAGATACTAACTCCAAGAGAATATGAGAACCCCCAAGTAAGAGAACACACCTCAGTGACAATAGAAAATGGGAAACGTCAAATGAGAGAACTAAGTCCTGACCCTAACAATGATGAGAGACACAAATGTAAGGAGCCTTCAAAAGAATGTCAAGCATCCCAATATCAAGACTGCACTCAACTACCAAGAGACAATAGAAAACACCAAGAGAGAGCACTGAGCCCACAACCCAGGAATGATGAGAGAAGTCAAGTTAGAGACCAGAGACCAGGTCCAAGGCAATTTGAAACTTTCCAACGTAGAGACCAAATCCCTGAACTGAGGGATGATGACAGAAGACAAGTAAGAGATCTGAGCCCTGAACCTAAGAATGAGGAGAAATATCTTAATAGGGAGGAGACACCAGCTTCAAGACATTATCAAAGATTCCAGCATAGAGACCAAACCCCAGCACCATGGGATGAGGATGCAAAAAGCCCAGCAAGAGAACTCAGTCCTCAGCCGAGTAATGATGTGACAGGCCTGAACCCAGAGCCCCAAAATGATGGAGGATCCCAAAGAAAAGACATGAGACCAAAACTCAGTAATGATGAGATAGACACTCGTGAGCAAAGGCCACCTTCAAGTTCTGGCAGAGGCTCATCTCTAAGAAAAAACGGCTATGAAGCCAAAGAGCCACTAGGGGACGCACAGGATCAAAAGTATTTTTCTGGGCAGGAAAAAAGTGAGGTTAGAAGTTCAGATCCTCAGAGATCAGCACTCCCCAGAAAAATTGGTCCAATTACCTGTGAGGTATACTTGATTCCTAAACAGAAAGGTAACTGGTTGTGCTATTGCCTACACGAACCACCTAAAATGAAAAATAAAGGCAATAGGCTAACTTCCCCAGATCTGGGGCTGTTTGGAGATGATAGGAGGGGAGGAAGTTATCACTACTACCCAATTTGGGATCCCGAAGAATATCTGTCCCGAGACAGGGAAGAAAGATGGGAAGACTGTGTTGATGATGGTGATCAGCAGAACAAACCCTATCATATTCGCAAGCCTGGAAGCAAATCTATGCAGAGCCCCCAGATACCAGAGGAGACCAGTTCCTCTGATGATGAGTTCTGAAGTCCCTTCCAGATACTACAAGATATTTCATCTTCCTGATTGGTTGAACAAGTTGTTTTAGGCATTCTTGCTTTCTTTCTCCATTGATCTTATCATAGCTCTAACCTACAAGAAGTAGAATTCTTCAACTTTTGGTTTCTGGGATACTTTTTATGGAATGATTTTAGGGACATTAAATGTTAAGTAATATCTTAGAATAAGCTTATGATTCTAACATAACTGAGTTATCAAGAAATATCTGGAGTAGCTGCATGTTCAAACTATTACCCTTACAAAAATTAACAATAAATAATTAGCAAGTATTCATTTCTCCAGTTTCTTCCATTCTTTTGAAATCCATCACTCTCAAGTTAAGAACCAATAAAATATTAACCACAGCCTCTAGACCAAAACTTATTTTTCACTCAAAAAACATTATCACTCATAAGATAGAGAAGTACGGGCTTGCAGTGACAGGGCATTCGAGGCCTCTCGGGATGGGGGCAGAGCCGGCCATTCCCCCCACCTGGACAAGACCCCAAGTTGCAGTCCACAAACAGCTCCTTCATTCCTGAACGGCTATGATCCCAGAGGCACACATTGCTTACTTTGCATATCAGGAGAGGTCGCACGTAAGAATAGTCCTGGTGCCCGCATACCAGAGCCATGCTCTTAGAAGTTCATGGTCGCCGGGATTCCATCTGGAGAAGGCGGGGAGACAGCACCTACCCCATCTGGGACATCCCAGTGATATTGGCTTGGTATGGGGCCCGGAGAATTCTCTGGATGTTGTAGGGCCCACCAGCCAGGTTTCTTGACCTGCTGTGTGCAGCAAGATGACTCTGGGGGTTAGTTGAGGGCATGACTTCCGGAATCAGAGACTGACTGGCAGCCGGGGTGGAACTGCCCGGCCCTGCGTTCCCATGAAGTTCGGAAGAATAATCCTGGTGCCTGCATACCAGAGCCATGCTCGTAGAAGCAAAGGCCGTTATATTTAGAACAAACTTATAAAATTTAAGATACAAAGCAACAAATGGGTCTACTTTTATCACTGAAAGGTATTATTACCATCATCCAACTATTGAGCAACTATCCTGTACTTCTCCGCACACATGAAGGTACTGGCAGAGGGACAAAGCCACGCGGGTTCTGGAGCCGAGATCTCCAAGCCTACTCGGATTTGGGCCAAGCATCCTCCACCCAGATCCTCCAAATTCCAGTAGGCAGGGGTCACACCCACCAACTGGCCCCCTGGCGCCATGTAATCCCATCAACGGCCAAGACTCAGAGACTATAAAAACCAGCTCCCGGAACCGACATCTTATTATGACATCTTATTATCTCATTCCTACTTTGGACATACTGTCAGGCTACCGAATGTAACCTGCCCACATGGCAGAGTCTGGCAAACTCCCTGTGGCGTACCCAATATGCCAAATACCAGTAACAATGATGGGTCTCATTCTCCTAAAGAGCCTTGAATATAATCTCAGGGCTAGGATGAAGGAGACGTTACTGGGGCCTGCTCGAGGCAATCGACTAATAACAGGACGGTCGTGATTCGTGATCCTGTACTGGGAGCTGTCCTGCTGTTGAGGATACGTCACAAGCAGGCTAATGCCTCTGTGTATAAATCTTGGACACAAGGCAAGTCTAAGTATGAAGGGGCTTCCACGCGCCAACAAGCAATTCTCAGACACCAGCAAAACGTTCAAGAATTAAACTCAATTCTGATACAATCAATCCAGAGAGAGAGTATCAGATTCCAGAGCTTAAAAGATTGCCACTCAATGTCTCTTTTGCAAACCACAGCACTCAAAAGGAGAGAGATAACAAAAGGGAATGCCCTACCACAGAGGTAGGGTGGGATGGAGGGAAAGGGGGTGGGAGGGATACTGGGACTGGTGGTGGTGGAGAATGGGCACTGGTGGAGGGATGGGTATTCGATCATTGTATAACTGAAACCCAAGCACAAAAGTAAGTCTACAACCGTACCTCATGGTGTTTCATTAATAAAAATTTAAGGAAAAAAAAATCTCAGTTTCCAGGTTAAAGAAACTTTTGTATATCTACACAATGGAATACTATGCAGCTGTTAGAAAAAAATGAAGTCATGAAATTTGCATACAAGTAGATCAATATGGAGAGTATCATGTTACATGAAATGGGTCAGAAAGAGAGGGACAGACATCAAAGAACTGCACTCATTTGTGGAATGTAAAGTAACATAATAGGAGACTAACACTTAAGGACACTTAAAATAAGGATCAGGAGGACTGCACCAGGGCTTGATAGCCGATCTCATGCCCTGGGGGAAAAGGTAGCTGGGATGGAGAGAGGAGCACTGACTAAATGATGGTAAGAGGCATCGCTGGGGATAGTATATGCATGTTGAAAGTAGACTGTGGACAAACCTGGTGGCTGCTTGTTACCTGTATTGCAAACCATAACAACACCCAAAAAGACAGAGAAAGAAGGAGGGATTGTGCCTGTCACAGAGGTAGGAGGTGGAAAGGGGTGGGGTCGGGGGAGGGATACTGGGAACATTGGGGGTGGGGAATGGGCACTGGTGGAAGGGTGGGTACTTGAACATTGTTTGATTGAAACATAATCATGAAAGTCTGTAAGTCTGTAAATGTATCTCACGATGATTCATTAAAATAAAAAAAATTTTAAATGCTTTAAAAATTAATTGTCACTGAGTCACTGACCTCCCGTTGTTCATCGATTTGCTCGAGCGGGCCCAGTAACTGTCCATTGGAGACTTTGTTGTTACTGTGTTTGGCATATTGAATACGTCACGGGTAGCTTGCCAGGCTCTCCAAGAGGGCCGGAGGAATTGAACTCGAGTCGACCAGGTCAGCTGTGTGCAAGGCAAACACTCTACCGCTGTGCTATCGAAAATCTCAGTTTCCAAAGACTGTCCTCTATCTCAGGTGCTCAGCATAAATAGGTCGTTATTTGCTTTTGGACAACTGGCAACATGTGAGAGGTTCCTGTATTTCCCCTCTTGTGTTCAATTAATTTGCTCAGTGTGGGCACAACCTCTAACCTTTCTCCTTTCCCTGGAGACCTCTATTCATGTTGGTATTCCTGACAAGCAGCTCCTGCCCCCACCTCCCTCAAAATTTTTCCAAAAGTTACCTTCCCTGACATCATAAGAGAATCCCTTAACACTCTTGACTCCTAGAAAATTCCAAGGATTTGGAGAGTTGTAAACGTGGAACTGTGGATGAAGACCACCAACATGCGAGGAGCATAAATAAATAAATTTATAGGTACAGATAGATATAGGTATCCTGTAAATCACATTACTACAGACTCCACCATGGTTTACATTCTAGTGGGAGAAAGTCACATGTCAAACACACCCTAACAATATGGCATACAAAGGAGAGGAAAAAGGAACTGGAACTGCAAAGCATGACAGAGTAGAAGTGGGCATATTTCTCACCATCATTAACAGAAAGATATAAAATAAATCAATTCATAGAAGAGATAGGCAAGCTATAAGCTGGAGAAACTCCTAGATCCATCAAAACAGCTTTATGATGTGGGGCAAGACTTCTTTAAGTCTTAGTTTCCCCATTTTTAAAGTGGAAATGATAAAAATAATGTTACCTATGGAGATGATCTGTTACACGAATGTCAGAAACATGTTCAAGTAAATATGCTAAAATGCTTAATGCAATGCCTGACATATAAAAAGTACTTAACAGATTATTTTTATTTACAGATATTAGTGATAGTTTAATTCATACATGGTTCTAACACCACACCCAACCACCAGAGTCCCCACTTCTCTCTGCCAATGTCCTTAAGACCCCTCCCACACACCCACTTCCCGTCCTTCAGATCAGCTCAATTCTGTAGACTCAGTCTCAGATTTGGAGCCACATCTGGCAGCAATCAGGAGCTACTCTAACTCTGTACTTGGTAGTTTCTTCTAAGAGTTCTCAGGGGATATTTCGTTGCCTTGAATCAAACCTGGGCCTTCTGCAGGTGAAGCATGTGGTCATCCCATTGAGCTGTCTCTCTAGGCCTTTAGGACTCCCTTAAACAACTTAGAAAAGCTAATCAAACACAATGAAAATAGCAATAAATTTATTTTACATCTTTAATAATGCTACAACATTAGACATTGACAATAGAGTAATCACCGTCACTGTCACTGTCCTCCTGTTGTTCATCGATTTGCTTGAGCGGGCCCAGTAACGTCTCCATTGTGACAATTGTTACTGTGTTTGGCATATCGAATACATCACCGGTAGCTTGCCAGGCATTGCCATGCGGGCGAGATACTCTTGGCAGCTTGCCGGGCTCTCCAAGAGGGGCGGAGGAATCGAACTTGGGTCGACCAAGTTGGATGGTTGCAAGGCAAGCGCCCTACCTGCTTTGCTATCGCTTCAGCCCAATGGAGTAATATATCAAAATATTTATAATTTTAATGCATTCCTTTAAATAATTCAGGTTAAGAAGGAAAGCTAAGGACTGGCGCTGAGTATATCAGTAGGGTGCTTGCCTTGCGTGTGGTCAACTTAGGTTCAATTCCCAGAACCCCATATGGTCCCCCCAAGCACAGAGCCAGGAGTTAGCCCTGAGCACCACCCGAAAACAAAACAAAAAATAAGATAACACTGTCACTGTCCTCCCGTTGTTCTTCGATTTGCTTGAGCGGACCCAGTAACGTCTCCATTGGAGACTTTGTTGTTACTGTGTTTGGTATATCAAATACATCACGGGTAGCTTGCCAGGCTGGAGCGATAGCACAGCGGGTAGGGTGTTTGCCTTGCACGCAGCCAACCTGGGTTCGATTCTCACCATCCCATAGGGTTCCCCAAGCACCGCTAGGAGTGATTCCTGAGTACAGAACCAGGAGTAATCCCTGTGGATCGCCAGGTGTGACCCAAAAAGCAAAAAAATAAGATAAAATAAGAAAATCTAAATTGTAATTAAGATATATTTTTTAAACAACAAAATCCACAAATATTAAAATCTATGACTGCCACCTTAAACATTTG